CCAGGGGATGGGTACTCTCTCCCTCTTGCTCATAGTTCAGCTGTCCATCTAAAGAAATTCATAGTGCTAATTGTTTGGGTAATCCTGCTTAGTTCCAGTCTATTACACCCAGTGTATTATGGAATTTAACAGCTAATACATCTGCTGACCATGTGTAAACTGCGGTTTTGCTATCCCTTCTCCTTTGCTCCTTCTCCAGTCCCCCAAGCCTGTAATCCCCCTGGCTTGTGGAGTGGCAAGAAAACTCTTTGCAGGGACTCTCCCCACACCCTTCCTGCAGCCGAACGCCCTTGCTCACCCAGAGTTCAAGCCCTTTCACCAAAGTGAAAGAAAAGTTGCAGAATATTTTGCTTCTGCCAGAAACAATCTGTATTTCTTGCTTTGTGTTTGGAGGCAGTTTGGCAGAAATTTTCCAGGAGAAGGTTCGAGCAAATGAAATAATGATGTGTGTAGAAGTTTTCAGGTTATAGTTGGGGATGTTCAATGTCTCTCAAAATCTGAGGCAAAACCAGGAAACCAGCTATTTTTTCTCGCCTCGTGTCTTTTTGGGGTCTTACCAGTGATGGCTGAGGAGTGGGGCAGAAGGCTTCATCCCTCGTGGCTGGATGCACAGCCTGGTTGTGGGGGTGCTCTGAGGAGTAGCAAGCACGGGCGTATAGTTAGAAAGGAACTAAACCAAGGCTTCCACCCTCTTCACTGTTTGGCTTTGTTTGATAGTCTTTAATGGTCAGTAATATTAAAATGAAGGTGACACTTTTTGCTCACTGATGTTAGATGTAGCCTAGGGCACCTGCCCTTAAAATCAGACCTTGAAACAGTTACCTGGCAGGCACTTAAGTATGGATTTGTCCATTGATCTTCTGTGCCCGTGTTCAGCTGTGCCTGGTTGGTAAGGATCCCAAAATTCTCTGTGGCACTCTGTGGGCATAAATTTGAAACCTTTTTGTTTAAAAGTAGAAAATAAAGAATATTGCTAATGCAGGGTCTGAGGTTGTACAGCCAATCAGGAGGCAACTTAATGGAATAAGTATAGAACAACCACATTACTCATTTGATGCTGTGAAATTGGAGGAGAGTAGAGAATTGGCCCTAAGTCAACAAATAAAAAGGTGGGGGGCTTTTAAAGGTGAAATTAAAAGCCCTTTTAAAAAATTATTCACTTAAGTTTAGACTGGTATATGCAGCACACTGGGACTGCCAGGATAGGGCCACTCCAAGCCTTTCTATTTAAGGAATTTGCAATAGCAGTCTGTCAGAAACAAAGACACTGGTTGGCAGAAGCACCCATGGGTGGCATTTAAAAGGCCTGGTAACCCACACCTATTTGAATCATTGACTGGGACACTCTGCCTTTCTCTTCTTCCTCTCCCCTTTCTGGTCACGTCTGATTTTTGCCTTGGTCACCTCCTCCCGCTTCTTTTCTTGTATACTTGGAAGTGTCCCAGGAATCTGGGGCTCCTACCCAAAGGGCTGCTTGCTTTGTTGACATCCAGAGGACGGTAAGAGCTGTGCCCCTACTGGACACCTAAATATGTGTTAATTTCCAAAACTGTCAGCTTTAGAGATGCACAACACTGACCTTCCCCCCCCCCCCCCCACCACCGCCATCCCCCCTTCACTGTCTTCTCTATCCACTGTTTTATTCTCACATTCTGGATCTGAGTGGGTCAGGGAAGAAATGAATGTCTGCTCCCTATTTGTTTGTCCTTCAAGTTTTGTTTGTTTGTTTTCCCTTTATCTGTTGTGTCCTGTCTGTTACCCTCTTCTTCAGGGTTGTGTATGGTTGGTAAATCTGTCCAGGGGAGTTACGAGAAAGGTCAGCTCTTTGGGTGAGGAAATTGAATTAACGGGCTTCAGGATACTCTCATGAATGACTGCAGGTGTGTCTGCTGGGTAATAAACCACAGTTATTCCCAGTAGTTTTTGTAAATAAATGTACCAGACAATTGTAATTTGAAACAAATTTCTATTTGAGCCTTGAACCACTCTTCTTCTTGAATGTATAGCATATAAAGGGTTTTTCATGTATCTTTTTGTTTGTTGCCTGCCTTTGCAAGCCCTGATTGCAGAGCAGTGTAAAAGCAACAGACCTGTTTCACATGACAAAGGACTCGGCGTTCATGTGGAGCGGGGAGCAGGACTTGCAGAGCTGACTGGTGAAGTTTATTTCCATTCCTCTACACCCAGAGCTAAGGAGCGTGGCTTTTGGTGGCAGGGCCTTAGAAGAGTTATAGTTAGCTTGTAGACTACATAAAACATTGTGCACGTGACTTTTATTGCTGCTCTTAACTGTGTGGAAGAGTTCCCAAGACACATGTTACACAGTTACATGTACAAAGTTGTTCTCAGATCTTGTGTTTGTATACAGTGTGACAGCGTGGGGTTCTTGCGTTCATCAGCATGTTAATTGTGCTATGTTTAATGTCAGAGTAGCGTAGCTAATTTAGAAAAGAGGCATAATGGAAAACTACCTATTTTTGATTAAAAAAACAAACTTACTGGAGCACAGAGGATCTTTAATTTAAGACTTGTCGTTATCCCTGTCATGATAAGGTTTCCTTTATGTCACCTAGTAGATATTGAAGGCTCTTTCCCCTCATCCTCTACTTTTTTGAGTCTGATAATAGTCAACATTTTACAACCCACATCTACAAAAGTATTACTTTGACAGCTGTATGTCATCACCACAGACAAACCCAAACAGCTTTTGGGTTGAAGCAACTGATTTGAAATGATTAACCAGCAAAATTGATTAATCCTAGACATAATTGTTTCATGCCTGTCTGTTTCCCATTACTTCCTTCTCTCCCCCCCGAAGCTGTGTATGTCTCATCCCAAGGCAGAAGGACACTTAGTCTTTTTCTTTCCTCATTTGACATACTTGCACACAGGCTGCATGGGACACAATGAAATAAGCTAAAAAAGGCCAGTTATATCTCCAGAGCAGGTGTTTTTTTTTTTTTTTTTTTTTTTTTCTCTTTTTGAATGGCAGAGGTTTAAGAACACTTTTGTAGGAGCTTGCGGATATAGACAGCCAGTCGACATCTCTTCGGGGCCTGGCATGTTTTATAGATAAATTTGCCTGTTGCACTCAAACAGTACCTGACTCTTAGGTGTACAAGATGCTAGAAACTATGCAGAAACAGAGGAAAAAATAGATGGTACAAATTCTGTATGTCTGTTCTCTTAGGGGAAGTGCATATAACACTGTTGTCTTGTAATGAGGAGAAGAAGGGTCAGTGGAGCTTTGTGCACTACCTCTGGTCCCAGCTGGGGCATTCCCATAGCACCGCCTGGCATTGGTACAGCCGCACGTGTTCCCAGCATCCGAAAGCTCACGTGGCACCCATTTGAGTGTCAATGTGCCTGTGGTGCAGTTAATCCACAGCCTGGATCTTCCAGTTATAAAGAGGACTTTTATGCTCAATTAAGGGTTTGATCTTGTATTTCTTCTTAGTGTAGAACTTGTTCTTCTATTTGTATTTCTCTTGTGCTGAGATAAAACCATGCTTCATGCTTGACTCCATTTTATTCTTCTGTTTGTGTGTCCCCCCGCCCCCCCCGGCTTTTGGCTGGTGCTGGGCCTGTCACTTAGCTTCTTTGGGTCCCATTTTTTCCAGCTGTAAACTGGGAATAATTCAACTTCCCTGTTTCACAAATGCCTGTTGCTGGGATTTCGATACTCTGTCACAAAGGACTGTACTGGTGGCATAATATAGAGAAGTGTTATCTTTTTGCCTTGGAAATGGCACTTGCATAAGTTCATTTTTATTTATTTATAGTAATGTCACTTCCATCAACTTTATTTGCACCTAGAAAAAAACACAGTTAAATACATTTGATGTAAATTTGAACCTATTAGAGCCCATTTTTTTCCTTAAAGGAATATAGATTGACCTCACATATTGCTGCTCTGGAAATAGGTGAATGCTAAAGCTGTAATATACCTGTAACATTTTAACAGAAATATACATCCTTTTTGAGGAGGAATTGTGTGTTTAGCCTGGTTTCCTGTGGAGATAAGGCTTAAGCAATTTTTCTGTCTGCCTGTCTTCCTTCTCCTTTCTGTGCTTCCTCCATAACTTTTAAATTGAGTTTGGCAAACAGGTAGAGGTCTCAAGACAACAGCATTTTTACAGATGTCATGAAAAATAGTAGAGGAAAGAGAGGAAGAATCCTATTAGGACCAGGCTGCACTGATGTCAATTATTGTTAGGCACCAGTAAATCCTGATGGGTGAGAGATGTAATGAATGCCCACCTGTGGGAAAGGCTTCCCTTAGAGCTTGTATCTCCTGAGTTAGGTACCTGCTGTCAGTCAGAATACATCAATATGTAGGAAACCAGGCTGCCTGCCTTACAGTACTTATAAATGTGCTTGGTTTTAAATGACCTCAGCTATGGATGTTACCAGAGTAGACAGGTTTTCAACTGATTTGGAGGTGGGGTGGGTTGTATATACTTCCATTACTAAAATCTTCATAGTTGGATTGTAGAAAAAATAGAAAAACACTAATGGAAAGTAATTGTCAGAAGTCTTAATGTAGTGGATATTATTCCGAGTTTTCTAGGCAAATTCAGTCTTTGTATGTTAAAGTAGAGCTTATAGGCATTTAGCTCTTGTTTATATCTGAAGGTTAATTTGGATCAAGGTGGGCAGTGGACTTCTGAGAACTATAGTACCTTACTATGTGGGCGCTAGTTTGACAGTGTGTTATGTCTGTTTAACTTCATCTACTTCCAGCTTTTCGGGAGTAACTCCATGTGTTGACAAGTCTGGAGTTATTTAGTGCTGTCTTCTCAGTAATGGAAATACGCTATGTCAGAAAAATGGAGATTAGGCAGGTGATACTAAATACTTTTAGTGACATCTTGCTAGCAATACCTTCAGGGTAATTTCTAGATGTTGCAATTCATTAATATGGGTGGCAAAGTAGCTAGTGCATAATTATGTGTTCTGTGTGCTGACGTGAATTTTTGTTTGTCCTTTTTTTCTTCCAGGACTCCACTGTTGTGACTCCAATTATTCTCAGAACAGATCCGCAGGGATTTTTCTTTTACTGGACAGATCAAAATAAGGTAAGAGAAAAGGTTCCTGCTCCAGAATGGTTCTTTCTGTTTTCTGTGGTGCGACAGGCAGGAATTGGGAGGCTTTGCATGCCAGTCCTGGCAGAGCAGACGAGCATTACATCAAGGTATGTTCCTCTGCTCTTCTGGGGAGCAAATACAACAGGCCTGGGGTTCATCCCTGGTGCACAAAACATGGAGAGATGGATGGAAGACTTGGTAATTTCTGGCCATGTTAATGATCTGCTGGCCAGTGAGGTGTATAATTGTCCTGGTTTACAGGCAAGGATCCATTGGGGATGCGGTTGTAGTTCATAGTTGCCTTGTGGTTTCTCTGTCTTGCCTTAAGTCCACTGGGGATTTTGGCTGCGGTGCACAGCAGACCCAGAAATCCCAGAGGCCAGAGCTCCCTTTGAATTGTTCCTCCTGAACTGCCACATGCTCCCTGGCCATGCCTGCTGGGCCGCGTCACTAAGTTCTTACTAATCCTTGCTGGACACTTACTTTCTTTTAAAAACATTCCGGTGTGCTTAGATCACTATTGTGGCTGGGGAGCTGTTGGGAAAGCTCATGGCCTGATTCATCGCTGCGTTACTCCAGTTTCACATCCGTGTCACCCCTTGAAATCAGCACTGTGGTGTTCCCAGCTGTTGGAGACTTGTGGAGCTGCACTGGGGTGAAAGTGTATCAGTACCCTGAACAATAGGATGCAGTTTATTTCATATACCGTATCAGACATATAATAGAAAATTATTGTTGCCATTGTTATAGCAAAATGCTCTATGAAAACTAGGAACTGAATGAGTTCCTCCGTTTTTTACAAATGAATTTTCAAGTACTTACGAAGTAAGTGCTTGTACCGGTTCCCTGTTGAAAATGGTGTTAGAACTTGGTATTGCTTGAGCATTGGCCTCGTGTTGGAGTATATGCCAAAATGACTAAATACGTACTTGTAGCATTCTGGCTATGGAAACCTGGTTTACCAGTTGTGTAGCTGTTTTTCAGGAGTTCCTCTTGATTTTATGTTTAGATACCAGTGCAAAAATCGTTTGAGGAGGTAGCAGCCATTAAATGTGCAGACTGTACAGGCAATTTTCTATTACATTAGATCATATTTATCTTCCTGTGTTTGCTTTTTAGAGGAGGTGGAACAGAGTTTTGAGTCAATGTATCTGGAAATCATATCATGGAGTTATAATAAAAATCTTGTCTGTCTTTGCTTGTGCTTGTACAAGGTGGTGGTTAATAGTGTGTTCATCTGTTGACAGTCCAGAGTTGTTAAATTACTGCCCAAAGAAGCAAAGTGGAAGCCCTCAGAAGTTGAAGGATATGACTGATTTACACCAGCCCAGTAGCTATGCCAGAGCACAGTGCAGTCTTCTGTCTTGTTCCTTCCCTTGCATAAACTACTTGTATAAGCTGAAAAATAATGGCAAACTTTGTAATAGTAAGTGGAAACCCAGAGTTGATTGGAGAGTTTATTTCGCTTTTAATTTGTTTGGCACCAAGACATCCTTCAGTTTCCTACTGTTGTCTGTAAAAACAATGTCTTGAAGCAATTCTGTGAAGAATAGCTATTTATAGAATTGTTGTTCTCATGTTCATGAAAAAATGTATTTATAATGCTCAGAGCATTTTTTAAAAGGTTGGGTATTTGTACAAGAGATGTAAGTGTCGGTTTGATTTTTAAACTTGCAAATCAAGTCTCTGTAAAGGGCAACGAGAGGGGTTTTTTTCTGGTTAATAATTCATGACAGCTAGGTGAAGCTTGTTTCTAAACCCCAACGTAGCAGTGTCTATTTAAAGAAAGTAAATATATTTCTATTGGGGTGCTGATAGTGCAAGGACCAGGAAGGAAATGCCACTTTCTGCTTTTGCAGAGAATGGCTGGGTTCATGTTTATTGTGAAACTACAAATATATTGAAAAATGAGGTTATATAGGAAATTCTCTTAATTTCCTTCTCTTTGTGTAAAGTGATTGTGTGATGACAGTGGAACTATGTGAAGAAATAATATCAGGACAATACCTCTATGTGATTGCTTTCTCTTTTTTCTCTCCTAGTTATTATTTTTTAAGCAATTGCTTTTGTCATAATCAGGGCCTGTTATTTTCTGAGTATGGAAGGATAGGCCTTGCTAAACAAAATGATGAACTGAGAAGCCTGCCTGCCAGCGTCCTCGGTCAGACACATTTTCCTGGGAGCAGACTACAAATGGGTATGGAGACAAGGCACAAGTAGCAGTCATCTTTCTAGCCATTTGACTGTCCTGTTTGCCAGACACTGTGCGAAGCAGTAAATTACTGCCTGGGTAATGGTATGGCTTTTAAATTAGGAATCTTGCTTCTTTGGTTGCTGTTGCCTTATCAGTAAAGTCATAAAAAAATTACATGAATCACTGGGCGGGGAGAGGGGAGAGAACAAAAAAAAAGCCACTCCCCCTGTGTTAAATTTTTATTTAGCTTAGGGAACTGGGGGTTGTAGCTCTGCAGCTTTCTCGAACTTGTTGGCTGGTTGAGCTGTTTCTTGCATTGTTTTCTTGTTCCCTTCCTTTTTGTGTTTCTTCTCTGTTGCAGAGAAAGGAAAATAATACGTAGTGCCTGGTGTCTAGCAGTGTACCTGGACAGTATTTTAGATTGTTCTTTGTGCAGTCAGAGCTCAACGGTCCTGGTAAAGATGCATGTTCAGTGCAGCCCTCCACCAATGTCACTGACCCCATCTTGTAGTTCTCCAATCCTCCCAGGGTTTGCAGCCCAATTGGTGAGACTCGATAATGCTGAAGTTGAACAGATGACGGATCAAAAAGGCTGCCAATAAAGTCATTCTTACCAAGAAGTTTTATATATGTGACCAGTCTGGACTCTTCGCTTGCTGTCCCCTGAGCTTTCTGATAAGTTAGTTAGTAGCAAATTTCATGCTTGCAGGAGCCATATGCTCCTAATCCTAGGTCTGTAGTTTCAGATCCATGCCACTTACGTTACGCCACACGTGAAAGACTCTAAGGATGGCCCTTCTTGTGGTATGAGATAGCAGTGGCAGCCAGGCTTGGCGGAGCCATCCTCTCGGCATTTACTTCTACGACTAGGAACAGAACTTGGAAAGAAGGCAGGCTGAAGAGACAAAGAGTTCTCAGAAGCCTGCTTTACAGCAGCATGGCTATCTGACAACTTATAGGCAAGGCAAACAGTACGCTAATTGTTCAAGACTCCTTCAGTGCAAAGTAAGTATCCATGTGCCTTGCTCATCTCTTCATGACTGTCTGTGATTTGACCATTTAATTATGTTTGGGCTGGCTCCAAAGTGTTATGCCAGGTACCCAGGTCCAGCACGACTGCTTTTGCACATTACCAAGAGCCATATTAAAAAATGGTTGATCAAACTTCTCTGTTTGAATGACTTTATCTGCAGAGTAAACAGTAGCCTCGGATAAAAATGCATACAGGTTCTTCTGACCACAGGCCATTTCTCTTTGATTTTTATGTGCTAGGTTCACCTTCGCTGCCCATCCTAGTACAGTCATACCTGCCGTGAAGGTCTGTTAAGTTCATTTAAGCTCTGATCTTACAATTTGGTGGTAATAATGTGGTATCCTGCAGTTTGACACACTTACTGTGTATTTGCATATTTAAGTATATTTTACTGTCATGAGTAAAGATAATCCTCCAAAATAAAGTCATAGATAGCATTTTGCTGTTTTCTGGTAACAACAAGGAAATTTGAACCTTTTTGTTTTAAACAGATGGCAGGACAGCTTTCTGATTTTACTTGTATTTTTCAGTATTAAATTCTTTTGTTGCTGAAGGTTCTGGAATATTTGCTTCATCTGTATGCAGAGTGCTGGCTGATTTCATATTATTACTTGAATGATTCTCAACATAGGTTTTAAAAAAGAAAAATTAATTAATGTGACAAGCTAGCATCTGTTATATCTTATTGTTTCTGTAATGTTTCTCAACTATAGCAAAACCAGACAATATTCATTGCATTGTCATGTTTTTAGGACCCGACTAAAACATACCTCAATTCCTTGCTACTTTTTTTTAAAAAAAAAAGAATGCCATTTCTTTCATTTGTTTATTCTCATCATGGGCGTTGAAGAAAGATAAATCAAAACTCAACCAGGTGAAGAGAAAGTCTACTAGAATAAAAAGGAGTGATAATAAAAAGCATTTCTCAGGAGATGAGAAGAGGCTGGAAGCGTTTGGTGTGTTTAGCCTAGCTAGCAAAGCAAAGCCAGAGAAAGACTGTGATTTCTGTCTATGAATAAATATCTCAATGGATGCATAGGCAGAGCAGGAGAAGAAATATGTCTTGTCAGACAGTTTGTGCATTGTTATTCTCGCATCCTTTGGCTGAAAGTTCTGTTACACAATCAAATGGATGTTAGGAGAAGATACTTGGCCGTTGACTCAGTGCAGTTCTGACACTGCCTAAGAAAAGGAGTAAAAGGAGGAAAGCAACTAATTGCTTTTATGATGGAGCCATTTAGGTTTTTAAAAGTCTGAGGATGGTATAATATGCTGTCCTCTTCATCTCGCTAGAGCGTACTGATTTATTCCTCTTTAATTTTTAAAGCTAGGTTAACACACTGACATGGCAGCATGCTGAAAACAGAGGATGCAGACCCAGTCTCATCCACAGTACCGTGAAAAGAGGTCAGCTAACAGTCCATGTCATGAAACTAAACTTTAAGTGTCTAGTTCTGGGGAGTCAACAGTGATTTCTAATGCCTCCTGCAGAAATGCTATTGTAAACAGATGCTGATCCCATTTGTCCAAAGGAAGTTTGTGCTGAGAAACTACTGCAAGTGCTTGAGGTGATGCTTACTCCGTAGGAGGGGATGTGTGGCTGAAGCTCCCCTCCTCCGCCAGTTGCCATTAGAGCAGTAGCACAGCCCAACCGAATGGTTTATCAGGAAGGAGTCTGCTTCAGAGCTTGCACAATTCGTAGTTCAAGCTTTTATGTGTATTTGAGAGAAGGTGGGGTGATGAGACCACAGGGGTACAGCAGTA